GGAAGAAACAAAGACATTTGGGATGTAGGGTCCTCAGCAAGAGAGCTTTCATGAACAATATCAGAACCTTTTATTTTTTGAGTAGGTGATGTGTGACTGGGAAGGGAACACTACTTGGTTGTGATGTTTAAATCAGGTTGGGTTTTCCAACAATAAATACTTGTAATCCTCTACTGGGCCAAAAGGGGAAATTGGGTTTCTAAGGAAGCTAATGAAGATCAAATAAAATCCTTTGCCTTCACAAGCTGAAATTGTAATAAAATAATGTCCAAATGCAATTGAGGCTGTGGTAGGTATGTTACAGAACACAACAAGGGGGGCCTGGGACGATATACTATTATTGAAAGAATGCCCCGGGTCCGTTATGTCCGCTGCCCTAGGAAAGATGTCTCTCAATGCCAGAGATTCGTGAAAAGGAAAGGAAATGTTTATTTAATGCTATACTAACTTAAAGTAGTGACCTAATGTCTTTATCAAAAACCTTAAAGTCCCTAAAAACACCCACAAACACACACAGTCCTTCCTTCCTTCCCCCTTTGCCCCGTCCAGAGTACCGTATCTCAGGAAAGGAAATAGAAGTCCATGGCTCAGGCAGTCCTCTGGTTCTTAGTTAGTGCTCCATCTCAAATGGGAGACCTCCCTGGGTTCCCGGCACCCTCGGCTGAGTCGCCAGGATCTCTGCTAAAACCAGGTGGTGGTTCCCCCTTCTAAAGCTGTGGAGGTCCCCACTCTGGCACAGGCACGTGGTCCTCTCTCCCAGGGCCACGGGAGTCTCCGCTCTGTCAAGGCCGCGTGGTTCTCCTCCTCTGGGATGCGGGAGTCTCCACTCTGCTAAAGACACATGGTTCTCCTCCTCAGGGCTGCGGGAAAGGAGAGTCCCCACTCTGCCAAAGCCACGTGGTTCTCCCTCCTCGGGGCTGTGGGAAGGGAGAGTCCCCACTCTGTCCAAAGCCGCGTGGTTCCCCCTCAATGGCTGCCATGTCTGGGTTTAAATCCCCCACACCAATCTTCTTCTGCAGCCCCATTTCCGACTCCTCCTACACCTGGGCACACTTGCCCTCAATCTGCTGTCTTCTCCAGCTTTTCTGGTCGCCATCGTGGGTCTGGGCAGGTTTCACCCCATGTCATGGAGCCAATCTTCTCCCAGCTCCCACGCAGGCACTGTAACTCAGGGGACCTGCCCCCCCAGTCACATCTTGGGGGGAGATCCCTTTCCATCCCCCTGGCCTTGAGCATGGCCATAGCTATTTAGCATATCTAAGTGACCAGCCAAAGGCTATAGGTATGCTAAATGACCATGCCATGGATTAGCTGCAAAGCTGCCCTGCATGTTCTTGCTCTGTGTGCCCTTCCCCCAACTCACACCTGTGGGGGAAGGGGTGAAGACACCTTAAAATCTCCTGGACACCTTGAGTTCTGGACCCCATTTCAAATGCCTATTTGGGGTCCCCCCTCTTGGCTGCACCCTGTAACAGGTATACATGGGTAGTTAAAATGTAATTTTAATGTGCATTCTTGAGACACACAATTTATAAAGTACTCATAAAAATCAGCTTACTTGAGCTATATAATTTGAGCACATGTATTAGGTAAATTTAACAATGAAGATAATTTTTTACTTTAGTATTTTCATCATGAAGAAAAACTTTAAAATATGTATTCATGATTATTCATGATATTGGCAATAATGTTATATAATGTAAACATTTTGTGTTGTTTGTGCATTTTTTTCAACATGGTAAGCCATGTTGAAAATCATTTACTGAACTGTGCTGTGCTATTACTACAAAAGAGGAATCACCAATAAAATTATTTATTTAATAAGTGTCTTTGAAAAAAGTTTAAGTAAGAAAATGTTTAAACAGTGTCTTGCTATTTTATCTATGAAACTTCAGAAAAATTGCACTGAATATGGCTCTGAAGTATCTTATAATAATATAAAATGCCAATTCTCTTTTCTTTTATTTTAATAGCATGAGCATTTAAACCTTTTTTTGTAAAGAGGAGGGAGAAAGAGAGGGTTAGAAAGAGTTTAAGGATGGAAGGTAGTCAGAAGGGCTATAGAAAAAAACCCTGTCACTTCCAATTGGTCTTAGTGTTTAAAATCTTTAAAATTTTCTTGTGTATTATGAAAAGCTAAAAATTTATCTTTTGCCATTTTCCCAAAGGAGGTTGACTGAAATCCATCAGCAGCAGTTGAAATTTTTTTCTAAGCTTTATTAAATGGCCCCTATGGAGCTCAGCTTAAAATTAAAAGCTTGCCTGACCAGAGGGAATATATGTGACTTAAATAACTGAAATGTGTTTTTACTTTCTATTACAGAGGTCAAAAGGTTTCTAAACAAACCAGATTTATCAATTATTTAGAACTGATTTCTTCTGAAGTGGTATTTCTGAGATATTATTTGGTGGATAAATTCAATGTTCTAGAGGCAACAGCAGCATTTCATTCATAACAGATTTCTACTAAACTGAATTTTCTGGGGCAACTTAATTTCCCCTATTGTATTTGAACTGTAGAAATATCAACTGGAGTGTTATAGTACCTAACTATTGGGCTTTTCAAAGAAGAATCCCATATAAGCATGCTTATTCAGGTTCCCCTACCCCCTGCTTTCTGTTCATTGCTTAAGAAATGAACTGATTTCTCTATCTATTGGAGAAAAAAATATATTTCTGCATATATATATTTCTGTATTTATAGTTTCCCCTGAAACATTCTTCAAAATTGCAGAGACACCTTTAAAGTTAAAAACAGTATCTTCAACTACATTGCCATCCTAGCAACCAAAGAAAATGAGATTGCTGTCAAGATTTTGATTAAATATATTTTTTTAAATGAAGGAGACATAGATTTGCATGCCCACATGTGTGTGCCAACAAACACACGTGTGTGTGTCTTTGGAGTAGGTCAGGGTCTCTTCTTACACATGCTTCTGGAATCTTGATGGACCACTTGACTTGGTTTAGAGCTCTGTGTTAAAGAATTCAATAACAGTTTATAGAGCAACTGCTCTTGATTCTTAACACAGTGCATAGCCCATGTAAATATTATGTTTATTATATACTAACTAAACATATATTGGGTTTCTGCCTAAAGTCTGCCATTTGGTGTATGCAGAAAACATTATAGAACAGTTCATAAATTCATTTGAAGCTGTGTTAAATGAAAGCAGCCATCCAGGAGATGAATTTTTCTCATCTTTAAAATAGCAGCCTTTCCAGCTCAAAAACAGTACGTTTATTTATGCTGGTAAGTGCAATACACCAAAGTAATCAAGGAACTATGTTGTATATTCTATTTTAATGAAAGCAAATTTTGTTAAGACAAAAGTGGTATTTCCCTTATCAGTATGGGCTATTATTATTATTATTACTATTATTTTATTGTATGTTCAGAGAGAGGGGAAAAAAGCTCTTCCCTCTCAAATACCTATTAGCCTGTTCAAGATGGAAATAACAGCAATTAGGTGTTCCAGATGACTGCTGATAAAGATAAATGAAAAATGAAGGCTGAAAAGAGGAATGTGGCAAGCACAGGCAAGCCGTTTTACCTCTCAGGGAATTGGATAGTTTTGGGGGTTGGGCAGAGGCTAGATGACTTTCACTTCTGAATGGCTGGCTGACATCCAACCGAAATCCATACAGACTCCAAAGGCTACTCTCTATCCTTGTGTGGGAATGGTCTGTAGAGTTGAGGTGGCAGACTCAGGGTGAATACACAGAGGGAGAGCATCTCTATCAGAGTTGCTGCCTATGTGAGGACTCACTGGGGCTTTGAACTCTCACCTGTACACTTCATTCCTGGGACAGACTCATGGCCATGTTTGGTTGAATTCAGCTCCAAATATAACATTTGTAATTTCACTAGTTCACTGAGTTGACAGTTTCAGCCTTGCAGAAATAGAAGACAAGTGCTCTATACCACCGTTACCATTTTTATCATGCCTTTCATTGTAAGCAAAGGCTGGAAACTGTCACTACACAAAAAAGGGAGTGGATTGTCTTGGTAACAATTTCACGGGGATACTGGGATTGGAGATGTTTTTATCAAATCCATTAACCAACACTTATTTGCTCCAGGAATGCAGAAGTTTTGTCTGTTTTGTTCACTAAAATATATTAAGCTCCTGGGACAGTGGCTGGCATATAGTATAGGCATAATAAAGATTGGTTGACTGAAGGGACCAATTAATTGAACAGTAATTTTTAAACATCAAATCTCAGAGCATTGCTTTTCCCAAGTGTTCACCACTGCAATGGAAATGTAAGGCTTTTGGTTTACTACTGTGAACAGTTGTGCCTTGCTTTTTGCCCATATAGAGAAACTTGACCCTCTGCAGACAGATTCTATTTTGACACTGCTTCAGTAAAATATTCTCCTAAGTATCAGGTCAACATTTGGTAAATTATCCCTTGTAGAGAATCCAGGGTAGCAATGAGATTTCAGTTTTCTTGGTGCTAACTTTTTAGGAATTGATATTTGCAACCGATCAGTTATGGAAGTTGGAGTCACATGGTGGTGCTTATTTATGAGATTATAGCAACCAGGTCCATAAAAATATTCACTCCAACCCGGAGGTTATAGAATTTTTCTTCTTTCCCTGATACTCTCGTTCCACACATCTTTTGAATGCCTTGGTTACAATAAAATTTTTACTGAGAATTTAGATTTCAGGTCTTTGATGAGATAATTAGTGAATAAGGAACTTTCAAACCCAGAAGGAGTGTCCAGAGTCTGGATCTGGATTTTCTTAAAATGTCACATGACCCTGGGACCCTTCTCTTTCCAATCTGAGGGTCTGCAGTACCTATACTGTCCAGATGTTTGATTTTTGAGATGTGAACAAAGACCATGAATGTAATGATTTTTTTCATCCTAAACTATTCTTGCATCTGTGCTTAATAATCATTTGCAGATTATGCGCCCTGTCAGTGCTTTGAAAATTTCAGTAGAATGACAAGATGTCTGATCAACATCTGTCTTTTTTGCTGTTTAGCAGGAGAAACTACAATCCCAAACAAGGATGAGCAGGGGTTAAAGACCGACCTTGGTTCCTAAACTTGCCAGTGAGGCTTTGATGTTGAACATGAGATTGGAGGAGAAGCAGAAGGGGAAAGTGCTGTGGCTAGGTAAGTTTCTGCCGGGTCCTTCCCCTTCCCCATTCAGTCTGTCCTGGAGGGAAAGAAGAGTTAGAGGTTGTTTTAAATAATGTTACCTACTCAGACAGTAACAGCTATATGTTCATCTTGTAAGCACTGGAACCTCTAATTTAAATCCCCCATATCTTCCTGCTTCCATACCCTGTACTTCTTTAGAATTGTCAACCATACACTGATAGCATGCTTAAATAGAAGTAGAGACTAAAAACTGCAAGATTTTCTAAGTTGTTGACTGGTTCTTCAACTAGTTCTTATTTTCAGCCTTGATTCTAGATAGGGAGAGAATAGCCAAATAAAACTTTGGCAAAGCCATGTCATTTGCCAAGTTAGAAAAAAAAGAAACTACACATGGATTAATTTTTAAGAAATGTGACAATAATATGACATGGCACTCAGTAAAAACAAAATTGAGATAGCGGCTTTTGGAATGATGACAATTATTTTTATTATTGTTAATGTAATTTTTCACTTAAAGAACAATTTTCCTAAGTACAGAGGGAAAAAGTCAATAAATTGTGGCCAACTGGGCTTTAAAAATCATCTTTAGTTGTTAAATCAATAAATAAGTAGCCAATCAGCATACTGTGTCTCAACATGAATAACACATACTCCCCACCACACCCCTCACACACACACATGCATACACACACACCCCTATTGCCAGGGCAAATGTATCGTCTTGCTATTATATTGAAGAGGTTCACAGAAATATGCAGAACCCATGAATGTGTAAAGTGCTAATAGGACAGCCTCTGCCAATATGAATTTTCTCCCTAGTTCTCAGACCCATTTTACCAATTTAGTATTCAATATTTGTAAGGTAGGGAACAGGTCTAATTCCTACTGGTTTGTGAAACTTGCTCGGTAAATATTTTAGTCTATTTGGATTCAATTTTCTATTGATAAATATTTTACACAATTGTCATAATTATCTTAACATAGAGACAAGTAGATCCTAGATTAATCCAAATGTTTTTGGAGACACGTTGATAACTTATAGAGAGAAGTGTTGACTTTATTTGCAACACAAAACTAGTAAGCCATTTAGTTTTCTAAGACTTACATGGTAGAAACAATATGTACTTGTCTTTCCACACAAATGTCAGTCATAACCCCATGTCATTCTCTCTTTTGTACTTTCTTAAAAAAAGGAATTTATGAGATAGTGTAACTTTATTTGTCATTATTACCAATTATTAACACCCCCAGTTAAAAACATCCCTAGTTAAAAGTTATGACTAAGTTTTTGTGTCCCCCCAATTGATATGTTGAAGCCTAACCCCCATTGTGATGGAGGTGAGCCCTTGGGAGGTTATTAGGTCATGAAGATGGAGCCCTCATGATGAAATTAGTGCCTTAAAGAGACATGAGAGAGATGGTCTCTCTCCCCAACATGTGAGGATAGAATGAGAAGGCAACTGTCTGCAAATTAGGGAGAGTTACTCACCAGGAACTGAATCTGCTGACACCTTGGGCTTTCCAGCTTCTGGAACTGTGAGAAATAACTGTTTTTTGTTTAAACCACTCAGTCTCTCGTATTTTGTTATAGCAGACTGAGCTGAGTAAGACATTAGATAACTGTGAAGAGGGTAGAACAGCTTCATAAAGGACCACAACTTACACTCATATGTGGCCAACCTAAAGGTCACCCTCATGAAGTCACTTAAAATGAGTGAATTCTCTTTAGTCTATTATATTTGGAAAACATCCCATTATGAGATTTTCATGGTCTTGTTCACTGACTGGTCCTGAGAACCCAGTAGGTGTCAGGTGCTCAAGACTTCCGTGTGGGTGGTCAAATGTTAACTACCTGCTTCTGCTGCCAGCCTTCCCACTCCACCTCAGCAATCCCAAGAAGGGGCTGCTATTGCAGAATGCTATTTTTTCTAGCAGGAAAGAACACTATAAGATAAAATCCAGAGCCATGGATTTGCTTCTCTCTGGTTTTCTCTTCTTTTCCTGCTGGTTGCAGGAGGATTAATCGGGTCTACTCACCCTTCCAGTGACCCCATCTCCACTCTGTTATACACACACACAAACACACACACCCTGGTTCAGCCTTCTCCCTCGATCTCTTTTATCTACGGTTCTACTAGGAGTCAGGCTAGAATAGCAGACTGGTTTGGGGCACTGTCACTGCTCAGGCTCAAAGAAGAAAGGTTACTTATTTCCTGCTGCCAATTGAACATATTAGATTCTTTACTCATCACTATTTCTGAAGTGTCCTGAAGGGTGTTAGCATCTCAATTTGACAAGTGAGAAAATTGAGGTTCAAGACTTGCTCTAGGACTCCTAAAAGAGGATATCGAATAATATAAGGAGGCAAACAAGACAAAAAATATAATTTCCGTATTTATCAGTGCTATAAAGACAAGGTGGGTAAAGGCAGAGTCAGTGGCAAGGGTGGGGCTATTTAGTTGGGATTTTTGGAGAAGACTTAGATCACATGAGATACCAATATGGTTTGCAGTTGAGTGGGTCCTGTGTTAAGGTTACATCAAACTGATTTAACTCAGCAGGGCCATTCAATAAAGGAATATTTCTAAAGAATTTGATCCTCCCATTGTATAAGATATGTTTTCATTTATGAAAACTTTTTCATGCATGTACATTTATGTTGTGAATTAAAAATAAGGTTATGTTTTAATGGGCTAAAATTTTAAAAATTATGTTCTTTAATCGAAATGTATTTTTCCAAGATATTATAGCTTGGTGTCAAAGGCCCACATAGAATGTAACAGAAATAAGTAAAGGCTCAAGCACTTTCATGTTATGGAAGTGCTGTGATGGAATGCTTTCAGGATCTGTTTTGATATACTTTGCACATTTGCACACATTTTTCCTAGCCCATTTGGTGCATATGTGCAAATTAGGAAAATGTGCCCCTTCTCCAGGGATGACCCAGTCCCATGCCTGATCAATCACATGGCTTAGAGAACCAAGAGTGGGCTATATTTTAGCTCACCTTTCCCCCTTCAATTACATGCCCTTGGGCATGGCAAGGTGTCCATAACTATCATAGACCATTATCTTTCAGGTAAGACTAATAATGCCCTACATTCTGCGACACATCAAACTACTTGCATAAATGCCATCTCATTAATTCTTTAAATTATCTTGAGTAATGAATGAGGCAAAGATTCTTATCCTTATTTTATGGTCATGGGAACAAAGTACAGAGAAGTTAAGCGACTTCCCCAAAGCCACACTGATTCTAGGTGGCTCTGACTAACCCTTGGCTCTCTCTTTCTCCCTCCTTTCCTTCTCTAAAAATAAATAAATAAAATCTTTAAAAATATAAATTGTTGTTCAATTAGGGAAGGGATTTGCTTTGTTCATCTATGTGTTCTGCAAACTTATCATAACATACAAAGTATACAATGAATGTTTGTTAATGAACCACAGAAAGCATTGGTTGTTCTGGTCATGTCATAATAGACCTGTTCTGCTGATGTGTGTGGCTGCAAATGATGCCTGTTCTGTTTTTCTACCTCTTCTTTCTTTTCTTTTTTTCTGAGAAAATTGTAAGTGTGGCTGGCATCACACAAGTCTATTTGTTTTACTGCAAATACAGTTCACAGCTGCATTAGTTAAAGCTCTGTGAAAAGGGAGGCAGACAGGTAAAGCTTACCCTGCTAGATGGATAGATAAAGGTCTGAGAGGCTTCTCAGATAGTAATGAATCTACACCTTCTACCACCTTGAGAAACTGATATTATTGAAGATGTGGGGTTACAGAGGCAGGTATATCTGGGAACTTGGGATCCTTTTACCGAAGATGTATGACTACTGAGGTTTTCAGCTACATTTCCCCCTGCTTACTGCTTGCTAGTTTACCTATCATATCTGTCAGGTCCTTTAGAAATTGAAAAAAATAACCTTAGAGGGCTCAAAAGAAACTATCTCAGGCCTCTTCCCTGCTGCCATTTGTTGGGTTATTAATAACATTAGTTATAATCTTTGAAGTCTTCCAGAAGAGGGAACTTTGTTTCTTCTGGTGTCCTAAGCAACATGAATTGCCCTTCTGAAGATGCTCACAAGATTATGGTTGAAGTGTCAGAATTCATTAGCCAAATGGGTAGTCAACCCTCATGAAAATGAAGGGCCTTTTGTAAGTCTCAGTCAAAATATGACAGTCCCCTCAAGTTTAGCTTCCATAGGTCTAAAAATATAGGGAACTAGTGAGTTACTCTTAATTCTGCTCATAATAATGTCATAATTGAATGATCTATAAACAGCATTATGCAAAGGAACATTGAACAAATGCAGCTGAATGCTCTTCTAGTGAAATCTTTTTTTTCTAACAATTAAATGTCATTATGAGGGATTCAACTCTATTTTATATGTAATCAGGACTTGTGAAGTCTCAATATAAACAGCATTTTTATTTGATCATAGTTCATTATGAAAAGCAACTACTATATAGAAAGATGTCTGAAATGATGCTCTGGACTAGGTGGAAGTCAGGATTTGCTAAACGGAAGGGTAAAAATGTCTGTCTTGCCAGCCAGCCATACTTTCACAATCTGGTGCATTTCCTTATGTGGCCTTGCTTGGGCTTATAAACCACTGGAATCAATTTCTTTTAAAAACACGTTTTTCAGAAACTTATTACGCACTTTAGAGATATATTATATACCTTCAGCAGCAAAAGAAGAAAAATTACAGGTGCAAAAGCAGCCCATTTTTCTAGCAGCTGAGAATGATGCTGTGTACTAGTCCCAGGGGAACAGTAAAAATTACACTCCGACAGCAACAGGGCAGAAGCCCCACAAAGGCACAGCCGAGCGAGTGGCATGGCCAGCGAGTGCACTAATAAATCAAGATAATTCTCTGCCTGCCTTGAACTTAGACCCAGCTACAATTCACTGGTACAGCCAGGAAAAGAAAAGGGTCTGTTAGCAGAATTCAGCTTTACTGGGGGGATGTGATTAGTCACTGGACAGATTGAGCCTCGATTGCATCTAAATG